ATTCATTATCAATGTGAATGATCAGAATGCAGTTCACAAACAGTTTAACTTTCATAAGCTCTTTGACGACCAACCTTGACCAGTTAATGGGGTAAATTAACCCTGGTCACTTTTATCCTCCACAGAAAGCATGGGTCTGAATGAAGTATTTCAGAAGTTCTGGGGATCGATTGTACTTTTGACTTTAAAAAAAGAATGGTGCCACCAAAGGTAAACAAAAGCTAAGGGACCTTGGAGTAGGGGTTGAAAGTTCAAAGTACTAATTTTACTGTTTTTATTTGTTGTAGGCACCATTCTTCAAGCTGTAGCTATTCTATATAAGTTAATTAAGGACCCTCTCTACATCAGTGCAAAATTTTTTTTTTTTTGGGGGGGGGGGGGGGATATTGAGAAAAATATATTCTATAAAGGTGTTAATATTAAGCTTTAATTATAATTTTCACTATATGGTATGTGGCATTTACCCCCCAGGATAAATAATCAAACACAACACAGTATCAGTGAATAGAAATCACTGTTGTTTACTTCTACAGAGAAAGTACATGTAAATAACATGTTTAATTAATTTATCTTGGCCTTTTATAGAAGTACGTTTTTTGGCGTGGTATTCATTTACGCTATGTACGCAATCACAAATTTTCTGCGGAAATTTGTCCAAGCGTCCTTAATATAAATGTAAGCATAAGTAACAATCTAAGACATCTGCATTATTTTCAACCCCCGGATTAAACAGAAATTGAGATTCCGCAGAATTATGACCCTGTGGAAAAAAGTACGTCTACAGTACTTGAATTTATTACATATTGTGTAATATACTATGAATTTCTATTTTTCAGAATTTAGATCTAAGAGCAGATCACCCTAACTGCAAAAAAAGACTACATAATCTGAACTCTTTATATTGTGCAGTGTAGATAAGAGAGTATTTATAGTTTTTGGCCAATCTGTCTGCAAAATATCGAACCTAATTGAAAATAACTTTTGAATGGTTGGAGAATGGAGATGGAGCTTTCACATTGTATTCCTTGTGACAAGAACTTTGGGAATCAACAAATCTGACCTTGACCTTGGAGTTTCTCTTTTGCATAAGTTATTCAATTCTAACCCTGGCCATACTGTTAAATGGTAATAGTGCTAGAGCTTTTTTTTTTTTTTAATTTCACATATATGTATTCCTCATGACAAGATCTTCCCTAAAGTTTTAGCATGTCTTACCTACCCTTGAAGTTCGACTGAGCCTTGGCCATAACTTTTAACAGTTAATGCTTGGGCTTTCATATTTTACATGTGTATCTTTCTCTGTGGTTCCAAGACTTCTGACCTTAGAGCATATGTTGAATTTGACCTATTTTTGAAGAACTTTTCAATATCTCATTGGTTGGTGTGTGGACTTTTTATACCATATAAGTGGAAATTTTAGAGAGACACAAATTTAGCATTTTGACCTTAAAAATTGGTATTTTATTTTTAGCGAGATTTAATTTCAGCAATTTTATAAAGCTCACTTATATACCTATTACAGATAAAGAAATATAAATTTCAAAATTACCTCACCTTCATAAGATGGTTTCTAAAATGATTCTGAGATGTGGGAAGAAGTTTCATCTGATTACTAAAGAAAAATCAGGACAAAAGAAGAGGTATAATCATTTTTAATTGCACAATAGATGCATCAATTTAAAATTGATCACCAATAATAAATACAGCTTGGCACCTGGCCAATGAAGTAACAATAAATAATGTGTCAAACTTCTTTTTGTAAGACTACCTCTTGTGATCAGTGGCAGCCATATTTAAATATATACATGTATATTTCTATTAGGTTTTCAAACGAATTCATTTGAATTTGAAGCTGTATCAATGTATTCACAAGATTCTGATATGCCAGATACCAGTGACAGAATAATAACTGTACCATTACAAAGTCAAACAGATGAACAAATGTAACAGCACATTATGGGGGAAAAAATTACTTGACATGAATAATCCCCCTTTATGCATTTTCAACTCATAATAATTAATCATTTACAATCTTGTTTAAATGGATTTCAGTACTATACATGATAACACAAGTATGTAAATGTACATACTAACACAAACAACCAAAAAGACTGACAAAAAAATTTCTATGAGAAATAAAATATGAGCTCTATTGCCTTAGTCAGTATACTGTAAATCACTTTTTATTTGCGAGAACTTTTTTTTTCACAAAATTATATGAGACAGCCAATTTGCAAAAATGTCATTTAGATAATTTTTGTAAATTTTGGTAATTGGGTAATGATTGCATTATCAGTAACCAGAATTTGTGAAAATATTATCTCTCTTATAAATACCAAAGACTTATCTCACAAAAATCTTGCTAAAATAAAGCGCCACAAAAATTTGGTGATCTACAGTACATCAAACAAATCGTAAACAGAATATTTGCACTAATATATATAGATAAGATTATATATAAATATTTTGTACAAGAAATAAAAAGAGAATATATAACATCTCTCTGTTTGAAATAATATATGTTTGTAACAGATATTAAAGGATTGCACCATAAGATTGAGAAATCATATTAACAAATGAGGCTTTAATGATGTATTGCACAACTAATCAAATCAAAATAATATCAACTCTAGTAATCAAACAAAATATATAATTAATATGATGAACACAATAGTTTGAAACACATTGTAGCACATACAATGTAACACTAAATAATCAATTGCAGCAAAAATGTCCTATCACATAATGTTTAAATCAATAATGAATCTTTCTTTTAATGATTATTGCACCATTTCCCTATGGAAAAAATATTTCCTTAATTGGACAACTTTTTTTGAAATCTTTATCTAAGAAATGAATAAATTTTTTTTGAAAATTCACGTGGACATGAACTTCAGTGCTTCATACTGATACTGGCATATTTTAAATAAAGTTTTTGTATGTGCCTCATTTTAAATATCCTGACATAGAGTGTTGTAGTTCATGTACCTTATTATTAATTTTCAAAAAATCCAGTTTATACCTTATATTTACATAAAGTTTTTGTATGTGCCTCATTTTAAATATCCTGACATAGAGTGTTGTAGTTCATGTACCTTATTATTAATTTTCAAAAAATCCAATTTATACCTTATATTTACATTATTTATCTAATGAGTTACCAGAAATTATGCTACTCATATTAATTTTTGAAACAAAAACAGTTTGCAACCAAAATGGTTTGCACTTAAGTTTTAACATCAAGTATCATGAGCATGGTATTATGATGTAACAATAGAGAAGCATGTATTTATCTTCTTCAGAATTATAACCAGTAGATTTGATACACATTTCATGGAGTGTATTGTTCCAAATTCTAAGAAATCACAATAGCATATTAAACTATTTTCATTGTCTTTTAAAAACTCAGATCTTCCATCAGCAGATAAAACATAAAATGTAAAAACATAACAGAAAATTACTGGCAAAGCAAAAACACACAGGGACAATCAACATTAATCCATAACCGGGTCTTCGCCTTCACCTGAAGAGCCACTGAACAAATATCTGAATCACAAATGCTGCAAATAAAATCAGCCAAGGCCAAGTGGATAAGGTCCCTTGCTGCTGCTCTTCAATGCGAGAAGTTAATAAAGTTAGACGAGTTTGTATCACTTTTAAGGATTGATTTGTCTCCTCCTGTAGTTTCAGTAATGGCTGCATTGCTTTCGTGAGTGATTCCTCCGACAGTCTCGCTCTGGAGGAGGACTTCTGTACTCTTCGACCTTGAAATTAAATTAAATGCACAAATGAAAACAATCAATGGATACAATTTGAACTGATATAATGTCACATCGTATTGCAATGAAAAAATAGAGTCTACAGCTTTAGTTCAATGGAACCTGTTTTAGGAAAATAATTTTCTTATTCCAATTTCTTTGGATTTTTTTTACTTTTTATGTATACATGTTGAGCTAAACAAGAATTTTAAGAACACCTGTGCTCAAATGTCATAGGTTTTCCTCTCAATGGACAAATGTTGAAAGAAAATTACATGTTAATGATATCATCAAACTTTCAAATACTGAATTTTTTCTTTGATAATATTCCTTTTTAATGATCAGGAAAAATTCCCCTATTTCTACCTACTTTTATTAGGCTCGGATGAATCACTGTCTAGCCTGCCATTCTCGATCTCCGGAGTAGAACTCTCGCTCTCCTCCAGGGCCTGTAGCGTCTTCTTCTTCAGTGAACAGTTCCGGGAAATCATTTGTCTGACTGGAAACACATCTGGCTTCTGATCCAGACTTGTAATACTGCAGGTCCGCACTACTGGAGTCTTGTGTTTAGTCCAGGTCTGGATTTTATAGCCTTGTTCATACTGTAGTAAATCATTGCTAGGATCCCATGGTCGCATGCTTAAGTTAAAATATATAGATATTTATTAACTATTTCACTAAGGGTAATTACTGATTTTCCCCCTTTCTTTACATCAAGTTAACACATTTGGGGGGGGGGGGGATAAAATGTGTGCAAGAACATTAAAACTCTTTATAATTAAAAATATTATGATTCTTATATTCATTGCATTTAGAAAATACATGATAAATAAGCAAATGTTCCACTTTGTGTGCTCCACAAATACTTACTCTACAAACTTATACATCCAATCCCCCGTGAGGGGGTCCCTCTCAAAGAGCCTGGGTACCCACTCCAGCATCTTGGCTTTCCTTTCCTTTGCCTCATTTCTCTGCCTCTCCTCCAGTATATATTTCTCCTGAGTGGCTGCATGCATGTCTGATGCAATTACTGCATCACTCACATTTTTCCACAACCTGGAATGAAATCTCATCAATATAATTTATGAATTAAACTTTATCAAATAACCATGAGTCAAGGTCATTACAGCCTTTAGGTCATTTAAGCAATTTTTGTATGAGCTATGAACTTTCAATTTTTTTTCCATTTGGAAAGTTGTAGACAAGACACAAACTTCATGCTTCTTCCTGTGTGTGACCTTGAACTTTAAATATGAACTCTGACTAAAGTCAGGACACATCCTTATAAGCTTCCTCTAATTTTCAAAGTTGTATTTTGGACACAACAGCATGGATGATTCCTATACATACACCAAACCCCACCCACCAACCCCCAATCTTTGTTTGCGAGGGATATAATTAAACATTTTTTTTATCTTAAACAGAACTGGTATTAACTGACCTCTCTGATTCCATGTCCTCTTGGTGATCTATAGGTACTGTGTATCTTTTTAACCTCTGGGCTTTTGTTTCTGCTGTTGGACTCCAAAACAAATGGGTTTCCTACAAATATAATACATGTATGCACTTCTTTAATTTTCAATTCCATTTGGTTTCACCTTCCCAAAAGTTCTGAGGTCTTCAACATTATTTTGTTCTTATATTTATCAAACCATGAATAAATGAACAATTTTTATAAAAAACTAGAAATATGTCTATAGGACATGAATCCCCCTCCGAGGATATATTAGTAAAGCAACATGAAAATTTGTATGTGTATAAAATTTGATCAGTTTGGTTCAGGTAGGGCTTATAGTTACTAGGGAATAAAAATGTAGGTCAGATCCAGCATCTGAAGCAAGTCTGGTAGTGTCCATCCCTAGATGCATCATCCATGCAAGTTTGGTTCAGGCAGGGCTTATAGTTACTTGGGAATGAAAACATAGGTCAGATCCAGCATCTGAAGCAAGTCTGGTAGTGTCCATCCCTAGATGCATCATCCATGCAAGTTTGGTTCAGGCAGGGCTTATAGTACTTGCCCTATGTGCCTCCAGGTGCAACAAGGACTAGGTAGATAGGGTAGGGCTTATAGTTACTTGGGAATGAAAATATAGGTCAGATCCAGCATCCAAAGCAAGTCTGATAGTGTTCATCCCTAGATGCATCATTCATGCAAGTTTGGTTCAGGTAGGGTTTTTAGTTACTAGGGAATAAAAATGTAGGTCAGATCCAGCATCCGAAGCAAGTCTGGTAGTGTCCATCCCTAGATGCAACATCCATGCAAGTTTGGTTCAGGCAGGGCTTATAGTTACTAGGGAATGAAAATATAGGTCAGATCCAGCAACCGAAGCAAGTCTGGTAGTGTCCATCCCTAAATGCATCATCC